CCCCCCCCCCCGCCGCTTCAAGGACAACCCGCCCCCTCGTTGACCGATGAGGGTGCTAGCTTTTTCCACGGGGACGACGAGCAACCAGAATAACGCAGATGACACAAGATAACACACCCCCTGGACCGATGTTCAAAGCTAGATTACTCCACGACGAAGAGGATGCATAAACGAAACGATACACTTTCGAATAGCTCTCGACGAGACGGTTTCAACGCCGCCGTTTTCGGCGCAGTGATCGTTCCTGCAGTTGAGAAATCGAGCTTTGAAACTTGGTCAAGGGTGTGTGTTACCTTGTGTCATATACGGTAAGCCGTCGCCTCTGCGTGCCCCCCGTTCTACTTGCCAGCCAGCAGGTAGTACGTGCGTTCACTGCCGATGAAACTGCAACCCAAAACGTGGTAACCTGAAAAGCAAAACACTAAAGCACAAAAACGCTACAGCTTGCCATGCGAGCGGGGAACAAGAGCATATGTACCCGACCGGCCAGCAAACACACCATCAACTTGACCACGCACCTTCTGCCACTCCGGCAACATGCTCTTTGCGAGCTCGAGCTTCCAGAGCACCCAGTCGCTCTTCTTTGACCTAGCCCCCGCCCAGAAGTAGATCAAGAACCGCGGCTGCGCGCCCCCGCCCTCCTCGCTGCCACTACCGTCGTCGCTGCTCTCTCCGCCCGACTCTTCTTCGTCACTCGTGAGGGTGACCGACATCCCGCCCGACCCAACCTCGTCCGATTCCGCATCGCTCGCGACAACGCGCGAAGGCCCCTTACCGTTGCTCCCTCTCTTCCTTCCGCCCGCGATGTCTTCCTCCTCCGCGGTATCGTAGTCTTCGTCCTCTTCCCGCGGGACTTCCATCCTTTCGAAGTCCTCGTCATCGCTGTCGCCGGAGGAGTCCCTCCTGGGTCGACGGCCGTCATTCTTTGCGGCCGGCTGCAGAGACCCCGCCATGCTCTCGCGCCTCATCTCCGCGAACATCGTCTTCCGCTTGCTGCTGCTGGGGGGCTCAACAATCCACCCCCCTCCCTTCTTCCCTCCATCTGATGGCGCCACCCCCCCTCCTCCGTTAGCGTGGTGCCCCCCCGACTTAACACCCTTCCCTTTTGTTGGCCGCGTTCTCCCGCTCGCGGAGCTATCACCGTCGTCATCGCTCAAGTCTTCGCGGCCGTCCAGGTCGGACAGCAGCGAATCGTTGTCCGACAAGCTGTCGCCGTCTTTGTCATTGTCTTCGTCCGACCCCTCTTCGCTGTCGTCGTATCTGCCGCCCGACGCATCGTGTCCGTACAGAAACACGTAGCTGCCAGCGGAACAGGGTCCCCGGGAAATGGGAATGGGGGGGGGA